GCGGACGAGGCCATCCGTGCTCTTCTGGAGGAACGTGACTAAGAACACCATTTAAACTGCATGAGTAAGGAGACTTTGCATGACATTGTGAATTTTTTGGCACAATTCAAAGAAGCCACAAAAGCCCTGGACGCATCCGAAATCCTAGATTTGTAATTCAAGAACGGAGAACGCAATTTAAACCTGGGACTGTGGACGATATCCATTTCCTGCACAGTAACCTTAAGTCGGCATGAAACGGAAGTTGACATTTTTTCCTTGTTGTGACGTATATCCGAGTTTTCCAATTTCTGAAATTAGAAAAAAAAATGTAGGGCAGGGATTGATTTTGTCCTTCGGGAATTGATTGGATCATTGGAGGTTGGGAGTTGCACCCTCATCGGATCTGGCCGCACCCTTTAGCCAATAGACATAACCAAAATAGAAGAGAGGTCATTTCGATGGGTAGGGTGACCAGACGTCCGGTTTTTCCCGGGACAGTCCCGTATTTCAAACGTAATTTTAGTGTTCCGACTTATTATGAAAAAATCATGTTTTGTCCCGTATTTCATCACTACTTTAAGTAAAACTTCAAATAATAGCCGAGTCCCAAATAGACGCATGTCTCTTTTACACGCCTGGTGTGACTGGAGGTTGGTAAATAAAAGCAGGACTGTTTTTTTAGTTTCGGTTCGTATTTAAACTTCTCGTGTTGTAGAATAGAAACTGCTGCGCTTGATAGGGCGCATATAATGAGCAGAGAGCACGCCGGACGCACGAGCTGGACGCATACGCGCACAACACGAGCGCTGCCGCTGTCTCTCCCTCGTGCATATTAATCAAAATCAATAGCTTGCCAAAAAAAAATGCCACATCGTTGCCATGGCGCAAAATGCAAATGGAGGGCAGGAAGTGATTTGCTGTATTTAGAAAGCACTATAACATATCAAAATGCCTGTTTTGCATTGTTTATGCAGTCCCTCCAGAAAAACGCGATTATGCGATCGCTGAATTCAATGCAAAATCAGCCAAAGTCCGCATATTTATGCGGGGGCCGCATTTTTTCAAATACGCCGCACTTTCGCCGAATAAATTGCCGATTTCCGTGCAAAATATGCGGGGTTTGCATAATTTCATAATCCTCGCATTTTCGTTGCAAAAAAAGTCACATGTATCTTAGCAGAAAGTTGAAAAATGTTGCGTTTGCTTCACATAAGAGCAGCCATTTCCCCCTGTTTCCATGGGAACGTTATGAAGTGACGCAATTACGCGACGCCAGACAGACTCACGGAGGCGATTGACATCTCACAAATCGAACTCGTATAACTGTCTGTCGAATGTTCTACTGTCACATTGTTACTTAATAAACAACATAAGATAAAAGTAGTAGCATCAAACAGAAATTACCCGCACACATGGGGTGTTCGACAGTTCAACAGGGAGCGCGCAGCTCTTAAAGGGGCCACACCTTATTTACACTCTCACAGTCTGAAATAAAACAAGATGAGAAATTAAATATTCCCAGCACTTTCTATGATGTAGTATGCTTGTTTATCAAAGGAAGTAATAAGAAATGACTCTTATATTAACAGGATGTTGGGGGAATCACTTTTTTTCTCTTTTTCATCAAACCGCAATTTTTGCAAGTTCCCTCAATTTTTGTAAATTCCAGCAATTTCATCGCATAAAATTGCATGAATATCCCACATATTCCATCGCATTTTTAAAGAAAACTGGCCGCATAATCAATCAATTTTTGCCCGCAACAATCACAAAAAAAAACTCTGTGTTTTTCTGGAAGGACTGAATACTATGGTAAATGTTAAATATAAATCGCAAATTTTTTCACAAATTTTTGGAAATTACCACCACAAAATCAGTCATTTTGATCGCAAAAATCACAAAAAAAAAATCGTGAAATCCTGGAGGGACTGTTTATGGTTACTTATATCAATTAAACCACAAGGAGTTTTTAATTGTGTACCAAAGGTTGTTGTTCATAAGGGGGGAAAATGCAAGAAATTGTCTGAAAAACTCTGGAAAAATGGCTTGCAAACCTACTGTACGTCTGTGGTCAGGGGGAGCCGAATGGGAAAATGCCTGTGCTGTGTGTGCAGTGATCACTTCGTCAACACAACTTAAGTGGCTATGTTTGTGTAACATACCAGTTTTCAAACTTTGTTTTTTTTTGTTTATATCTTTCTCTTGTAATAGCGTGTAAAGTAGTACAGTACTGACTTTCCTGCATCTCGTCCATTGCGCTCTTCACTCCCTGCCCTCCATCTGAATTTTGTGCGACTGAAACTCAGCTATTGACACAATAGTAAAAGGTCGGAAGACTGCAGTTTCAAATTGGAGTATTTGGACATTTTTAAAGATTTGAGACTAGCTTACACTCAATGAACAACATCTCAACACTAAATTATAAAGGCCTGTCTCATACAGATACCTGTCTCAAATACAAGCCGGTGCAGGTGCATTTTTTTTTTTTTTTTTTTTTTTTGCTGAGTGTTAGTGTACGTGTATCTTTGGCAGTGGATTTTGTTTTATGCCTGCCTGGTACATCTGCACTTGTGGAGCCTGTGTTCTCGTTAATGAATGCATCATGGACGGATGAAAAAAGTGTTACAACAATAAAGGCAATGCTTTTCATACGAATTAATTTCGGACTGGACTGCTCTGCAATTTATGATAAACTCTTGAAAGACAATTAAGCGCATGCAGACATTAGTATGTTTAGGGTACATTGTACTAAAAACATATTTGCAGTACATTTTTAATACATATTTTTCACCTGGGTTATAACATAAACAGAAAATTAAAGATTTGAATATTTAAGCAACTTAGTAATTTTGTTTTTCAATTACAAGTTGCCTCTATTTAGGGCATGACTACCTATATCACACTATTTGATGCCATTGGTACAGTATAAGACGATCAATAGTCTTGCTTCGGCATCCCATGTTAAACTCCTTCGATCTGATGTGAATGCTACACACGACCACGTTTTTCGAAGCCGATGCGGAAGAGAAATCCTGTCTCTTCACCTGCAAAAACCATACCAGGAACGAAAGATAGAAACCTGTGGACTCGATGTCCTGATAGGCCGGAGTTTTTTGCAACCTCCACAAACACAATGATTTACCATGACGATGATAAAAAATTGAAAAACAAAAACTACCGAAAACACACTGACTCATGTCTGCTCTGCACTGAGCCGAGGCTGAGGCTCCCTGTCTTGATGTAAAATGATGCGTTGTTGAAAATAAAAAAAGTTATTATTACAAGCAGAAGAAATGCTCACTTAACATCCACTAAATTAGTGCCCTTATGTCGTTTTAAAACATTTTAAATCCTGCATTAACTTTTTATATGGTATTTTCATGCAAGGTTATATATTCATTTAGATTTTTTACCTGCAATATGCTCTTTAAAACGCATCAAAACAAGTTCTTGTCAACACACTGTATGCTGTTAGGCTTAGGCTATGTGGCCTGGCAGTGAGGAGAGAGACCAAAACAAGTGAGTATTCGCCTCTTCCAGCAACCTTTACCCAGTCATGCATTCCAAGCGTGAAACATCATCATTACCTGACAACGACCCCACAAACAACTACCTGCAGCCATGGCTTGTTTTTCCTCCTGACTGAAGCACATGACTTAAGCCTCCACCAGGCCCTCCCTCTTCTGCTCAGCTAACCCGTAAACATGGCTGCACATGTTCATTTGAGAGACACAATGCAAATTAGCTCTTACCCTCCTCCAGCCCACTCTTTTCTCAAGGCTCAATACTCAAGACAAGAAAGGGTTAAATTCACTGTCCACTATCCATCCTCTGCCTGATGTGTACACTGTAGGCTGCCTGCATGCAATGAAAACTACCAGCCATGAACAGCCTTTTAACTAGGGATCATTTTGGTCCACAACACTGCCTCCAATTGAGGCGTTATGTAAATACGGGAGTACCAGACGATGTGCAGTATAAGTGCCTCAGAATATGTTATGTTCAATCTTTTGTGTGCTATGCATAAACAGTGCACAGAAAAAAAGCCTAGACACTGTACTTTATCAAGAGCAGCTTGTGACTGCAGTTTAATCTCACAAACACCCGCATGATATTATTCAAGAATCAAGTAGGCAAATGAACACATGCACTTTTATATCATGTGTGAGGAATTTCTGACATTGTAATCCTTTTCTTATGTAAGTGGGGAATTTTATGTTAAATAATAATAATAATAATAATAATAATTTGGATTAATGTTTGACCGAATAAATTAAACAGGGCATAACAGAATTAAGGAAAATGTCGACCAGGCGATATGTTTTATAGAACGAAAAAGCTGCTGAGTATGTGAGCCAAATGAGCCTCAAAACAACATCTCGCAATCCTCAGCGCTTCGTGCTGCATCCTCTGAGAACAGATCTATTTAATAGCTTCATTATACACAAGCCTACAAACCTTAAAACAAAGTTTAAGCAGTAACGCATTTCGCTCTGTAAAGCCAGCTTTGATCGAGTTTGGGGTAAATAAACAAGCGTGCGCGCACCGCTCATACTGCAGCGTCATAGTGCCTGCGCAGTTGGGTTGTTTACCGCGCGCGGACACTCAGATAGTCACGTCTCTCATGCTTCAAATTTCTCTGGAATTCCACTGAATGAAAAACCCCTTTATCAATGCCATAAACGCCCCATATACTGAGACAAAAAGCCAGTGGTGCAAACCTCTCTAAATATTTTGAGTTACATATTATCTATCTCGTTCAGCAATAAGATTTTGTTTAATTACTTTTTTTTGTTTAAGTAACTGTGAATATATATATATATATATATATATATATATATATATAATAACATTTAATTTGCAACTACGTACATAGTTACAAATTAAATGCAACTTACATATTCCAGTATATAACAAAATTAATTTGCAACATGCTGCATCATCTTTTTTTTTCTATTACCAATTTATACCAGTTATATTTTTTAATCATAACAGCCAATCACATCATCTGAACTTACCTTGTACAATGGTTGCAGTCTCTTTGAATCCCAGACACACATATGGAGTTGCATGTAATCCATTTATTCCTGCTTTACAACAACCACCAGTATTGAAGCCCATAAGGTTTTCACAATTGCCCATCTCTTGTTTCTCCATGAGGTTTAAGGTGATGTAATTAAGTCTATTCTGATAAGCAGCTGAAGTCTCTCGGCACATGGGAGACCCGTACTCCTCATCAGAACCTTCACTGCTTCGGACAGAGACATTCTCTACTGAGGCAGAGCTGTGTCGCTTAACATTGTGTGCAAAGCAAGGAAAGACAGGTGCAACTGTGGTGGTGGATGAAAAAGTCTCAGAGCTATGCCGTCTCCGGCCCTGAGGGTCTGCCCGGATCACCTTCGCTCCTCCGTTTGGGTCTACAGAGGAGGCAGCCAACAAGAAAGCACCGATTCCTTTTGACACCCCCTGGTCGCTCAGGTCCAGCCTTTGGGGGCTGACTGAAGCACTCTCATCATTCTCAGACAGGAACTGAGGTGTGATTTGACCATTGTTGAAACTCATCTCAGTGTAATTGTCTTTACCTGTGCCAGATGGGCATGGTGAGTTTCTCCGTTTAATGAGGAAATAAGCCCCCTCATCAGGTGGGCATGGGCATTCAGCCAGCTCTTGCATTCCATTCAGTGGACTGTTGAGTGCTTCTCTCAGTTTAAGTGAGTGTAAATTCTGATTGAGGTTCATGTAGTCTGAGAGGGGGGATCCCGGGCCGAGGTTAGACAGTGAGCCCTGGCTTTCCACAGAAACCATAGAGGGAGAGGAGTACCGTGTAGCAACAGCAAAGTCTATGTTAATGTACTCACCAGGGCTTTTAGGCTCACAAGGGAGAGGGTGTTCTGTCATGCTGGGAAGCATCCTCAGAGTTTCTAAAGATAACCTATTGGGTCTGTTGACTCTTGCTCTCTGTGCCATGCCATCAGGGCGACGGAGAGGTGGCAGGGCAGAAACCCTGTTGGCTTCTTCTGTTGGATTTTGGCTCTGGGGACTCATCAAAACATACTGGTCATCTTCTGCCCGTTTAGGTGCCTGATTCTTGTTAAAGCAAATACCTAGAGATGGGGAGGATCGTTGTGTTGTTTCACATTGACCCATAAAATAATCTGATCTTGTGGGCGAGACATATGTGTCAGCCGGTGACATATTCATGTATTCTCCATTCACTGCTCTCCCATCAGAGCTCTCCAGTGAAAACTTGAACCCAGACCACATCTTCATGTACCCGCTATCCTCTAGCGATCCACTGATGGGTGAGTTAGTAGTGCAGTCACTGCCTGTTGGCTGAGGATGTGACCTTGGATTAATGATCTGCTTGGGTGCTGAAACACTCATGGGACTCATGAGCATGTAGTGGTCATTTTTGGCACACTGAGGTGCCATGCCTGGCGTCATGGGCATGTAGTAATCACCCACATTACAGTTAGAGCCAACATCAATTTTCCCATAATCAATCGAGTATGAGACCTTCGGAGATGCAGAATTTGTTCTCCTGTTCGCAGCCCTCATCAGCATATATTCATCTAGTGATGCTGAGGATTGCTGGGAGTGTGCTACCTGTTGCCGTGGGGTTGTCAGAGAATACGTCCTCTTCCTGTATATATCCATGTTATATATGTCTCTGCTAGTTGGACACATCTTGTTCTGGGAGTTGGTTGGCCTGTCCATCACCATATAACCATGGAGCTCACTGGCTTCTCTTGAAGGTGGTGTGCTGGAGAGAGAAGAAGGTGTGTCACTCCTGTTTGCTAGATTGTACTTCACATCCCCTGGGCTAGAACTGTAATCGTCACATAAGAGGAAGCCAGTATCATAAGGTGACCCACAAACAGAACCACTGCAACTGGAGGGTCTGTGAACTGTGGATGAGATGGAACCATTCATACTGACTGAAGACAAACTTAATGGGCTTACAGCAGATGGGGGCGAGTGGGACATTGTTATTGACATGGACCTGCTGTGAAGCAGTGATGGTTCTGATGTCCGGCACCCCACCGAGACAGTATTAGATCTGATCATATGGTTCCGGCCGACAGCTGTTGGGCTTCCATTCTCAGATATTGATATGGAGACCGGCCTGGTCATGGTACCTTCCCCTTCACTCGCTGTCCGTATTCGACAAGAAGAAAATTTGGTGACAGGAGATGTGGCTGCTGTACTGTCCGTCCTTGACCTCCTCACCAACCCTGTCTGACTAGGGGGCAAATTGTTCAAGTTCCGCCGAGTGGGTACAGATATCGGATTTGATCCTGATGACTGGCTTTTGCTGCGTGGTCTGAACTCTGACAGCTCTTTCATCGCTTTCATAGCTTCTAAAATAGTCTCATGTATATTTTGTGCCACCACAGAATCATCGGCTTGCATCCACAGCTCTCCAGGTCCAGTAGAGGCAGATCTGCCCACCTCAATGAAGAAAAAGCTATCAGAGTGCCCACATCTGCGTATATTCATCAACTGTAGGGTCACAGATGACACTTCTGAGTTGAGTTTCACAAAGCTAATTGTCCGACTTGATAAGCACAGTCTGTAAACTCCAGTGATATTTCTGCTCTGCCCAATTCCTTTTGCTTTAAGATTAACTTGCCATACCTCTTTATACGCAGCATTCACCGGTGTAATCATGCCGTAATTTCCATCGTCGAAGCCCACCAGAGATGATGCCGAACTAGAAACGGAGCTGTCATACATTTTCCCCTTACTTAATAAATCAGTTAAATCTCCGTGCCAACTCTCCTGCTCTTGTTCATTCTCCGCAGCAACAGCAAAATACTCGTCCTTGGTATAGAAGGCAATTAAATACCTGTGTTTCGCGTCAGCGCGCTTGTTTATGCTCAGACAAGAGTCGAGAAAAATAACTCTTTTGGCAGCGGACTTGTTTTTCCATTTCTTTTCATTCTCGTAGTACTCCAGCCGCGCAGGCAGTCCGTCACTCTGATCTTTCAAAACAAAATAGCGTCGATGTCCGTGCTTTTGCTTCTTGAGATATCCACATTTTCTGATGTTGTTTGAATAAAAGTTCTTGTCGTTTGGTAACGAGGATCCCGCTTTAATAGGCGGACTTGTCATACTTGCGTTTACAATTATTTACGTAAGTTATAACTTGTTATCCATCCGCAGTAAAAAGAGATTTAACTTAAATATCCTAGAAATGGAGATTTCGGCGCTCTTTCACCTTGCGATGTTTAACGTAGCTTACTTGTTCACCGCAAATAACTCGTTGCTCAGAATGACTGAGCTTAAGAAAAAACAACAACATGACGTTACACAGCCCATCTTGGGTCAGTGGGAGAGAGAAAAAAACAGTCATATAAGGCAGCGCGATCTTTAAGAGGCGTACCTGCCAAGCCAACGAATGGAGTTGCTCATGGGATTCATTGGTCAGGCGAAAAGATTGACGGTACGTCGACAAATCCGTGACGTGATATAGGCAAATCCCCCTTCACACAAGCTTCACACTCCCCTCCTCCTAAAACTTACAGCGCTGCCGCTGTGTGGATGACAAATCTATGTACGCACTTCAGTGCTGCAGAGACGTTAGCTGTAAAAAGTGTTTTATGTCGCATATCAACTTGTTTTTAAATGTAACCATATATCGGCATGTTACTCAATTAAACCTACAGACAGGCTACATCACCATGAGATGACCAGAAAACGCAGAATATCCTAGCTATTTCAGAATTATAATTTAGTCAGACAATCATTTCGATGTTAGACGGGGATAAAACGGCCTATTTGAGGGAGTAAGAAAATGCATGTCATTTATTAAGGTTGGCATGGAGTCCATTTTAACTTGTGTAAACATGCGGGAAAGTCGTAGTGCGCGTGCTGCGTGTTACATAACGCATATGATGGTCTATTTTTACACACTCGGGTGTCCCCTGTCCAGCAACAGTGGCTGAACTAGCGTGTACATAATTAAAGAAAATAGAGATTTTCTTTTTTATTATTTTTTTATGAATGTTGCCGAATTGCGTCCGTGGTGCCACGCATGTGGATTTTCAGCGTGGATTTATTTAGACTGAAGCCATCGAAAATGTGGTTTGTTAAAATAAATCATCTTTTAATATTAGAATTACTTTAGCGAGACTGAACTTTCTGGAATGGCAGAATTTAATCTGGTTGTTCCAGAACTGGGAAGCAGAAGTAAAACACGCCATCATGGTCATTTGTACCAACGCAAATAAATCATACATTGAACTGAATTCATTGCATGGTTTATAGACAGTTCAAGTTTAAAACTGACCTTTGCATTTAGTGAGATTAGACAAGCATTGCTGTAAAACCAACAAATTTGTAGCCATATATGCCTAACCACAGACAAATGTAATATTTCTACTCTCGGTTGAACATGAAACACCTACCAACTTCTTTTGGTTATATAGTCTAACTGCATTTCATAAATAATCCAATGAGCATTTAAAATACCATGACTAAAGTTTCCCAGGAAATGTATATTCAGTGGTCACATCAAAGACCACTGAGATTATGTTTAATAAACATTAATGTCTTGCTATACCTGCAGCACTTTTCTGAATTCTTCCTTGACAAAAATGAGTAGCTGATTTGTTCTTTGAAACTGCTTCTGATTGTTTCCCGTTATGATGCAGCCCAAATCAGGTCATAAAATAAAAGCTGCACAAATCAGTCTGTGGATTCTGTATTAATAATGGATGTGTGTATAATCCAGGGATTTAACATATTAGATGCAAGGCTATTTGTCAAATATGTCATTGAATTTATGATACAATGGTACAATAATACAACTCAATGGTACAACTCATTACAGTAGCCTACTCGTTTCTCCAGCAGAACCCGGTATAGGAGTTCACTGGCTACTGTGCGGCTTTGTAATTGGTTTTATAATCTGTCCCTTAAAGAAGATTATGGTATACAAACAGCATGGCTGGCTGATCTACCTAAGGAAGATTTGTGGCCTGTATACCCAAGTTCTGAAATGAGTAGGCCTAGTTGTCTATTGTTAATACTCTCAGTCACACACACATGCAAACAATGATTAAATAAGCTTCAAACGAATGATTGCTGTCATGTTGCATTTTCCTCAGATTCTGTTGTGCTGACGTTCTGTTGTTTGTTTATCTGATCTGATGTTTTTGCGTCACCAGTAGCATGTGTTTTGAGGCATTAGCAGTAGGCGTCTCTAATCTTACACAACAATGAAATTAAGTAAATAAAGCCCATTGATCAATCCACAACAAATCTACTTAGACTAGACTGCTGGTGTGACAGGGTTGTGACAGGGAGCTCATGTGGGGCCAAGAAATTGGAAACATTTATTTAAAAAAAACAACAAGAATAACATGGATTTAACAACATGGATTTTTGTATTTTCATGGTCCTACTTATACTGACATGAATTTTAAATAGCTGCATGATCTAATATTACAAATAAATTTAATAAATACTAATACTTTTTTCAATTAACAAATCAGCTTTACACATAAATATATGCTATTAAAGGGGAAATGTAATATTAACCCATTCACTTGTAAGTTTAAAATATTCTAACTGACCCCCCAGCTGAGTTTTTCAAGGTTTTTCAAGACCGTTATTTAGAACTTGTTTCCATGGTGACGCGTCATTGCTTGTCACATGACACAGCACAACCAACACAGCGCTGAATGAATGATGATCTGCTTTTGTCATTTTTTCCTTTTTTTATTAAAAATATTCAAATTTATAACTATGGCATGAAACACTGATATTACGATTGTCAAATATGTGCAAGTGGATGGGTTTTGTTGTTTAAACATATAGAAGAACAAGAGGCAAAACTCTGATGCTTTTTTGGTAAAGTGGCGCTTTGGTAGCGCAGCCGCCATTTTGAAGTGAAAATTCCAACTGGAGTTACTGGACAACAGCACAGATAACAGTTTTTTTAGGTGTTTTTTTCTTGCATTAGTAAGTATTTCCATTTTATGCAACTACTACTATTATTAGGCCTAGTTACCAACACTAGGTCTGAAATATATTTTGTACGTTTTAATCCCATGGATCATGCTACAAAAATTATGATCTTTCCCCGTTGGTAAGAGTAGATGGAACTAGAGATGGAACTAAAATTGAGGAGATGGGGTGAGTGGGTTCTGCTGTTATTTATCTTGTCCTGAGTTGATTACTGATTGATCTCCACTTGTGCTGATTGGGTTAATTATCTGCACCTGCTCCTCCCGAACCTTGTTAATAAACATCATAAAAAAAGCAAAAATATAACCTTTCATGGCATTAGTAAATGGCCAATAATTGGCACCCCTAAAAAATATGAGTAAAATATTTAAAATATGGGAAGTATATTCCCATTAATATTCCCATTTTTTAGCGCACCAGGGTGAACATGAAATTGTCTAGCTATGACTTCTTGTTTCACAGGATATAATATTTATACATTATAAATATGAGGAAACACAAACGCAAAATTCTCTTAATTCTCCATCACAATGAGTAAACCAGAGAATAGTTCTGATGTGCAGCAAAAGATTGTTGAGCTTCACAAAATAGAAAGTGACTGTAATAAAATAGCTAAAGCATTTGAACATTCCCATTTCCACCATCAGGGCAATAATTAAGAAGTTCCAATCAACTGAAGATGTTTTGATCTGCCAGGAAGAGGACATGTGTTTATTTGTCTTAATGCACGGTGAGGATGAAAGTTTGAGGGGCCAAAGACTCTTCAAGGATCCCAGATGGAGAATTGCAGAGATTAGTTGAGTCTTGGAGTCAGAAAGCCTAAAATAAATAAATCAACCCCACATGTTGTTTGGAATGGTTTCAAGAAAAATCCTCCTCGTTCCTCCAAAAACAAAACTTGCATTTTAAGTCAGACACGCCTGGAACTTCAAAAGGGACCGGATTCTATGGTCAGATGAAACTGAACAAAAAAAAGCTTTTTGACTGCTAACCTAGATGGGTTTGGTGCAAACAGGGATAAAAAGTACCCAATGCCCAAAGGTTAAATATACCGCTGGATCTTTAAAGAGCCCCTATCATAGCATTTGAAATGTTCCTATTTTTGTTTTAGGAGTTCCCAAAAACAGTTAAACGTGCATGCAAGGATAAAAAAAACACTTTATTTGTCTTATAAAATGCATTTATTTTGAACTGATTTGCTCAACGACTCCCAAATGATTCGTTCGACGATTCATTTTCCCAAACACCTCCTTTGAGTGACGCGAATCTGCGGCGATTGGTCAAATGACCCAGTCAGTTGTTATTGGTAAACCGTAGGCAGAGATTGTTGGCAAAGGAACGCCCATAACCAGGATTATAGCTTGTCAAGTGTTGAAAATTGTATATAGTGTTTGAACAAACGTGTCAGAAAAAGTGCAATTTCCACACGGTCCCTGACTCGCGTCTCCGCCAAGAGCGAGCTTTCCTGGTGAAACTCACATTGCGGGGGCTTTTGAGGGGCAGTGCTTATTATATAGAGCGAAGTCATATTTGGCTAAGTCGTTTAGGAGGTAATTGCCATTTTTCAATGAATGTCTGGTGAATATCAAAAACAAAACTAACTTTACCCCGCATAGAATCTGCGCGGAGTGTACACAACACACACAACACAACATAACTATATTGTGCATGCTAGAGAAAACATAACAGCAAACATTATTAATAATACTTACAGATTGTGATTCGGAGGAGGACGAACCTGATCCACATACTGAGCCCTCCTTTAGGAACAACCGGCTTGCGAATGATTCGTCATTAAAATGATGAGAACACAAGGTTCGGGCTATACTGTTGTGGTACCATTGCAAATATGAACTCTGACCACTGATTCTTCACATGCTCGTCCCTGGACAATGGAAACAAGTGGCTGAACTGTCTTTGCAATGAACACAGCGTCTTCTCGACATGATGTGATTTAGCTGAAGTATTTGAATGTGTTCTAGACGTCACTTCAAGTCTGCGCATGCAGTTGTTGGGAGCGGCCAATGACCTCTCTACATCACGATGTAACAGCTAATGACTCGTTTCAAAAACAATTCATTTCAGAGACTCAGAGTCGACTCTCACTTTTGAAAGACAATAACTTTATATACGGTGCACTTTCAGATATAAATCTTTGCAGGATGTTTTCATTCCCTTAGAGCTATATTCCACACTACATGAACAGTCATTTTCAAAAATCCATGATAGGTGCTCTTTAATGCTTTTGGCCTATTTTTCAGCTGGAGGTCCTGCGTCTTGTTCAGATACTGTACATGGTATCATAGATTCTAGCAAATACCAACAAATAAAAAAAAATCCAAACCTG